GAGAGCCTGGGGGGGGATTCGGGCGGGGCCTCCCGCGCGCGCCTTCTCTGCGGTTGCTTCTGGTGATGATGATGATGTTGATGATGATGATGATGATGATGATGATGATGATGATGATACTGGTGCTGATGATGCTGATTGTGATAATGAGCACCATTATGATGCTGATGATGGTGATGGTGGTGGTGGTGGTGGTAGCGATGATTATTGTGGTGGGGAAGATACTTTTTGTGGTGGCGACGATGGGATCGGAACCATGAGGACGAGGAGCAGAAGGGATGACGAGGAAAGGAAGGAGGAGCAAAAGGAGGGCGATGACGGAGAAGGACTGCTGATAATGATGATGATGATGATGATGATGATGATGTTGTTGCTGATGGTGATGCCGATGCTGCCGGTGATGATGTTGATGATGTTGATGATGGCGATGTTGATGATGATGACGACGACGGCGTTGATGTGGATCAGGATGAGGCTGATGAGTATGATCATGATGGCGATGACGACGAAGACGACGTTGATGTTGATGATGCTGATGATCACGATGATGGTGCCGATGATACTGGTGGCGGTGATGTTGTTGGTGGTGGTGACGATGATGTTGTTGATGGCGATGACGAAGATGCTGGTGATAATTATGATGATGAGGATGATGACTGTGGTGGTGATGACGATGATGATGACGATGATGATGATGAGGATGATGATGCTGATAATGATGATGGTGATGGTGCTAGTGGTGATGGTGAGGATGAGGTCGATGATGACGATGATTATGCTTATGCTGATTATGATGATAATGCTGATGCTGATGATGATGCTGATGATGATGGGGACGACGACGGCTGTTGCGATTGCGATTGCGATGGTGCTGATGATGCTGATGATGAGGGTGATGAATCTGATGATAATACTGATGAGGATGCTGATGATGATTCTTATTATGTTGATGATGCTGCTGCTGATGATGATGATGATGATGGTGGTGCTGATGATGATGATTCGATTGGTGATGATGGACGTGATGATGATGCTGATCATGATGATGTTGCTTCTGATGATGAGGATGATGTTGCTGCCGATGATGCTGCAGATGATGATGCTGATGATGAGGAGGACGATGATGCTGATGATGCGGGTGATGATAATGACCATCTACGATTGCGATGTGCTGTTGTTGTTGTTGTTGTTGTTTTCAATGATGCTGATTATGATGCTGTTGATGATGATGAATACGATTATGATGATGCTGCTGCTGATAATGATGGTACTGATGATGATGATGATGATGATGATGATGATGATGATGGTGGTGGTGGTGGTGGTGGTGGTGTTGAACGTGATGATGCTGATGATGACGCTGATGATGATGATGATGATGATGATGATGATGATGATGATGATGATGATGATGATGATGATGATGATGATGATGATGATGATGACGGTGCTGGTGCTGGTGCTGGTGATTATGATGATGGTGATGATGCTGTTTCTGCTGATGATGCTGATGCTGATGCTGATGCTGATGATGATGCTGCTGCTGCTGATGAGGATGAGGATGGGGATGGGAAGAGGATGAGGATGAAGAGGAGGAGGAGGGGGAGGAGGAGGAGGAGGAGGAGGAGGATGAAGAGTGAGGGGGTTGGCCAGAAGATGGGGAAGAGGAGGAGTAGGGAAGTTTTGGAGGAAGGGAAGGACGAAAAGGAGGGCGAGGAAATGAACAGGAGCAGGAGGAGGAGGCGGAGGAGGAGGAGGAGGAGGAGGAGGAAAAGGAGGAGGAGGAGGCCGAGGAGGGGGAGGAGGAGGCGGATGGAGGCCAGAAGATGGGGATCAGAAGGAGGAGGGATGACTTGGAAAAAGGGAAGGACGAAACGGAGGGCGAGGAAGTGATTAGGAGGAGGAGGAGGTTGAGGAGGAGGAAGACCAGGAGGAGGAGGAGGAGGGGGAGGAGGAGGACGAGGAGAAGGAGGGAGAGGGAGGAGGAGGAGGAGGAGGAGGAGGAGGAGGAGGAGGAGAAAACGATGAGTATCGTATTTGACGGAACATGTATGTTTGAGCAGCCGGCTGCTTCCTGGAGGCTGCTTTTTGTTTTTCATTCGTTGAACCCAGGACGTCCGTTACGGGGTGGCCGCCCCCCCCCTTCTCCCGCAACGGCAGCGAATTTTCGGGGGGGGGGGGGCGGGCGGCCCCACCACAGGTGTGGCGTCGTGCTCAGGGGCGCGGTGTGGTGCTGGTGGGCATCGGCGGGCCTCCAGACGCCTCCAGAGGCCTCGTGACCGCCCGAGGCCTCTGGAGACCTCTCGAGACCTTCCGAGGCGGCCGTCGTCGTCGTCGTCGTCGTCATCGTCGTCGTCGTCGTTGTCGTCGTAGGTATCCTCGTTCTCGTCCTCGTCCTCGTCCTCGTCCTCATCCTCGTCGTTGTTGATGTTGTTGTTGTTGTTCTTGTTGTTGTTGTTGTTGTTGTTGTTGTTGTTGTTGTTATTATTGTTGTTGTTGTTGTTGTTGTTGTTGTTGTTGTTGTTGCTAAGGTTGTTGTTGCTGCTGTGGTTGTGTTTGTGGCTGTGGTTGTGGCTGTTGTTGTTGTTGTTGTTGTTTTTATTATTATTATTGTTGTTGTCGCTGAACTCTCACTCCTGAGGAATAATTTTTGTTGATCCCTCCCGTCCGGTGCACATTGTTTTTTTTTCTATTGAAGTGCCCTTCCCGTGGCGCTCACCGCGTTTTTTTTTTTTTTTTTTTTTTTTTTTTTTCTTCCCCCTCCCCTGGAAAGTCTTGAGGGTCAAACTGTGTCGTTGGCCCCCGGTTTACAAAAACAGCGGCTCCCGCCTGATATTTCCTCACAATTTAATGAAGAATCGCAATCTCGCTTGGGACTTCCTTGCAATTTAACCCGGATCGCGGCTCCCGCTTGATATTTCTTCACAATGTATTGAAGAATCGCGCTCCCGTCGACACGGTTGCAGTTTTCATTGTCCTTCCGCCCCACTCTCCCAACATCCCGCTTCTCTTCAGGGTTCCACGGAATTTGTTTCTGATACCAGTTCGCAGCTGTGCGTCCCCCCGTGGGGGTATCCACGATACGTTCTTTCAAGGGGGTGGTACGTGGCGCTGTTTATGGCGCGACCCATGGCGAACCTTATTCTTAACCTTTGTTGGAGTGGCTGGCGCAAGCCATGGCGCAAGCTGAATCGCCACTCACAGCGCAAATCGTCGTCCTCCCTCCTTCTTGCCCCTCCCCTCCCTCCGATCCCTTCGTCCTCATTGTCCCCTGTCGCCTGTTACCCTTCGTTTCCAAGGGCTTCACCAACCACGCATGGCAGGGAATGAGTGCGCCTCCCAACAGGGGGTACGATCGAAGACGAAGAAGGCGGGTATCCAGGGTTCGGGATATGCATATTGACTCACACGCGAGCAAATAAGAGCAAACAGTCTTAAAATGATTGTTGTTGTTGTTGTTATCATTGTTTTAGTTGTTGTTGTGGCGGTCGTCATCGTCGTCGTCGTCGCCGTCCTCGTCTTTGCCCTCGTCCTTTCTTCTCGTCCTCGTCGCCGTCTTCGTTGTCGTCATACTGCGCGCAGGGCCCCCCCGCGGGGCCCGACCACGTTATAGTTACAGATTTTGATAAGGGGCTTGTTCTTCTTCGCCCCGTAACTAATGTTACGAGGGGAAATCAACAAACAATTTCCTGCCATTGACGCTTGCAGCGCCGAAGAGCCCCGGGCTCGCCTTGCCGCTCATGTGATGGCGCAACCTCTTCTCTCCTCGCTGCTCGGAGGGGAACGTGGGCAGGGCTTCTGGAAGCCCAGTGCCAGAGGTTCGGCACACGCTCCGCGCTCCCAGCAGCGCGTGACAGAGCTCTCTGTAGCGAGCCTGCCCAGGACGCACGTAAACGTGAACATGGTGGCCTTTTCGTTTCACAGCGAGCCACGAAAGGGCCAACCTGGAAAACCCGGACATGTTCTAGCGTCTCGTCGGACCTCCACAGGCTTCGGCGCTGGCACGGGGCCGCGGAACGGCTCGCACATCCACTGGTGCCGCACCCCACTGGGTGGGGCCCCCCAGCGGTTGGTCGGCCCGAGGGGGTCCGCCAGCAACGGGCGCAGGACCCATATGGGGCATCGGGACTCAGGAGACGGGGGTCAATGCAAACGGGGGTGAGCCAGAGCGCCCGATCCTTCAGGATCCTGCAGGGCCTGGGTCGCATTGGCCTGGGTTTGGGAGCAGGATCCTGCAGGATTTTGCAGGGACCTTCGCGTTGATTCGGGTCTGGGTGCAGGATATTGCAGAATCCTGCAAAGCCTGACTGGCCCAGGTCTGGATTGACCCGGGTCAGACCCCCGAGGGGAGGGAGCAGGGGACGGAGGCGGTGGGGGGAGGGAACAAGGGCGGCCCCCACCAGGGAGGTTGGGAGTACAGCCGAACCATTGATATAAGGCCCTATGGTGGGCTCAGGGGATGCTCTTGTTCTCGGGCCGTTCCTCAGATTGGAGAGGCCTTACGGCCGGTGCCGCCGACCCTGAACGACGACGACGATGCTGACGTGGGTCAGAGTCCTCAGGGATGCTTTTTGAGGTTTCTGGGGTATTGCTCAGGGATGCTCCTCAGGGATGCTTCTCAGGGATGTTCCTCAGGGATGCTTCTTCGGAGCGATCTCAGGTGCCTCTGGGGGGTAATTTGGGGGCCTCTGGTGAGCCTCTTTGGGGGCCTGTTGGGAGGCTCCTGGGCGCCTCTTGGGGCTTCCTGGGCGCATCTTCTGGGCGCATCTTCGGGGTGTCTTGGGGGCGTTTTGGGGGAACATGGCGCTTCCTGGGAGCCTGTGAGGTCGAGGGCTCGAAATGTCCGTTCGGGTCCCCCGTCTGGGCATTCTCTTGGAGCCGTCTTGGGGGCCTCTGGGGCCGTCTTGGAGGCCTCTTGGGCCGTCTTGGAGCCCTCTTGGGCCGTCCTGGAGTGTCGGGAAGCCGAAAGGCGACAATCCCCCAGTCTATCAAATACCTTC